ACATTCTCTTACAGAGGTAATAAACTTTTTTTTCTTTTTCTTTTTCTCTTTGAAATGGAATGAGTCAATTGATAAATGCTTATAATATTGAGTCGATGATTATATTTTCTATATTGGAACCTCTGTTACACAGGTCATGACTGGGGGCAGATTCCAAAATGGTTATGATCTACTAATTGGCACGTCTGATAAAGGAGAAGACATCAAGAAACTGAATACCCGAAATTCTATCATGCGCTTATTGTCTTTGGAGGTATGAGTGCTTTTGTTTATAGTCATTGCTACATTATGTATTTTTGGCATGTGAGTGGTGTCTGTCTTTCTGTCAGTTCTGTTGTATATATCATAATAAGAAAGCTAGACAATCATTTATTGCTATATATTTGCAAATAACAGGAGAGAGAGAGAGGGAGGGAGGGAGAGAAAAAAGCTTCTGATATTAAGTTTTGCTTTTTCCATGATTTAGGTGTTGAGGGTCTTGAGTCTGCAATAGAAGCAGATGATCAGCTGGAAGCCACTGAACCACACCACCTGTTTGACTTCTACACCAACACATGCCCCATGCAGCAGGCACGCACAATACGCACAGAAGAGCAGTATTGATTAGTCTGTGTGCTCTGCAAGATAAATTACTACCAAAAGGAAAAACTAAATACTACTTGGAAGGTTGCTAAGTACTTGTTATAATTTTTTTTTTAATTGAATTTAACATGAGATTCTTTGTTATATTGCTTTCATTATCAGTAATAGTACCTGCAAATAATAAAAAATATATTTTTATTGACTATTGAAAGTTGTCTTCAATCTCATACTACATAGAATACTTTGCAAATGGTATGGATTATATTACATTAGGATTTATTTTTAGTTGTAGAGGACATTTGTGAAAATGATACTTGTTGAACTAAAAAAAAAAAAATCCAGTTTAATTTTTGACCTGTATATACCATTGCACAGGACTCATAGAACATAATAGGTATTCTGAATACTTGCATAATAAAATTATGTATGATATTATATATGCAATTTACTGCACTTGGATATTACTCCTAAGATTGGGATTTCATAAAATTTGATGAGACTTGAATATTACTTGGAGATAAAAATTGTTTATATCCTTTCTCAATAAAATATGATGTTGGCAATTATGATGAAACATTCTTCCAAGCTTTGTTTTTATAATGAAAACGTTAACATTGACTAACATGGAGGCATGGAAGAACTCAAAAGAAATATGCATATCAATAATTGTGTTTAAGTTGCATTTTTTTCAATCTGATGTGACATTTTGTTTGCCATGTTACTTGTGACTGATTAATACTGAATTAAAGTCTTAAAAAAAAGAAAGAAAGAAAAAAAGGAAAAATATATGTAATAATAATTATATAATATAATATATATATATATATAGTATATATTATATAATATAATAATATATATAATATATATATATATAATATAATAATATATATATATAATATAATATAATATATATATAATAATTATAATATATATATATATATATATATATAATATATATTAATATATATAATAATATATATAAATAATATAATATATAAATATATATAATAATATATTATATATATATATATAATAATATATATATATATATAATATTATATATATAATATATATATATATATATATATATATAATATAATATATAATATATATATATATATATATAATATATAATATTAATATATATATAATATATAATATATATATATATTAATATATATAATAATATATATATTAAATATATAATATAATATATATATATATATATATATATATATATATATATAATTATATAATATATATATAATATTATATATAAATATATATGCACACATATATTCCATATTTTAAGTAGGATTACCATTGAGGCCCCAAAAAGTAAATGAAAATAGTGAAGAAACCATAGAAAGAAGCAATAGAATCAGGGACTGGTTAGAAATGGAGAAAATAATTATGTTTGAAAGTATTGAAAACAAAACACCCTTTAGAAGGAGGTATCAGTAAAATATATTCCAACTATTATTTAAAATTGAAAAATAAGTGAGTGAAAGGAGAACAAATGTTGCAAGAAAGGAGAGAAGGAAAGGTAAAGGAAAAGAGAGACAAACACAAGATAAATGTGTAAGAAAAAAGGGCTTGTATGTAGGAAAAATTAGTTTCATTTTGTAGATATAGTTAGAAGTCCAAGGAATTTAAGCAAGCAAAATCAGCAGGATGGAGTACATGTAAATATATTTATTTTAAATTTTTATTTTTCTATTTTATTTATTTACATATTTTTAAAGAATGGATTTAAAAATAATTTCCCATTTTAAAGGTATTTGCTGAACTGCGCAAGATGAAGGTTGTGTATGGCTTTTCATTGTCAATCGATAAATTTTGGTCCAACTACCACGAAACAAATGACTATGTTGTGAAGATCATGTTGTATTGTAATGAAAAACTGCATAAAAAAAAAGAAAGAAAAAAATGAAAATAAACAAAATTGTATAAAAGAACATTGGGTACCTTTAAAGCAAGTACCTTTCCCTGACACTATTTATATCAATGTTGTTATAATTATTGACATTATGATTATTTTAATGCCATTAACAAAACTAATGGATTAGAAGATTAGATAGAACTTTTTGAAAATCAAGTAGAGTCTGCACAGTCACCTTTGGAGACAGATGATCGTAACAAGTTAAACTTCCTTGAAATAACGAGAAAAATGAAACTTGATGCGATTCGATTAAATAGCAAAGGATGGTTGATTGATTAACAATAGACAATTATGTTCTGAACCATGAAGTTTTAAATCAGAATTATCAGAAAGGTGTTGCATCAAACATCTGGTCAGCAGAATGCAGGAGCACCATGACCCTCAAAGACTAAATTTAGAAGACCTTTTGGTAAGTTTTAATGAATACTTAAAACTAAAAGGAAAGTAACTGTACTGTATAGAACTGGTGTAGGAAAAGAACTGTGGGCTAGATTTCCTTTATACTTATCGATCCGTAAACGGGCTAATACCCAGGGATAACACAACTTTACAGTATCAAGTGTGACTTAACATGGGCATTCCCAGTAAACAAGCAATGCAGTTCATTACCCAGTTGCTGAGTACATCCCCCCCCTAAATAAGAATGTCTGATATTTAGTGCAGAAATTAATGAATTCATCTCTTAAACTTTGCCCCCTGGACGCCGAAAAGGACCTGCAGCTCCAGAGCCCCCAGCGTTTTTGGGTAGAACCTACTTTGCTCCCCCTTGCCACTTCAAAATACCTTCCTATGCCTATACTTACCCTTCCCTTCATATACATAGCTCTGGAATGAATGGTTCCAATAGGCATTCCAAATCAATGAACCAGAATATACAGAAACTTTTAAAATAAGTGACTGATTGATCAAAATATCATCATGCTATCTGTACTGAGTCTTTTAAGTTATTATATTTCGGTCACTTGCCATATTATTGTTATATTAATAGTATAATATAAGTAAACAAAAATACACTGGTCGTGAAGGCTAGGCTGTAGAGTGAGGAAGCTAAATGATAGCGGGCACTAACTTGCAATGTTTTGCAAAGAAGCTTAGGTCTGATAAGCGACTCTATAGGCTAATACCTATTTTTAAGGGGAAAATCCTATATCACTTACAGAGCAAACCATAATTATTTTTTTGACCAGACACTACAAATGACCTTGGTCTGGAGAACTGTAGGTCACATTGAAGTAAAAGTTTATTAATATCCTCAAATAAACACCAGCGTAACGGTGCTGCGCTTACGTTCACTAATATTATTTCAGATTGTTACAAACGTGATTAATTACGTAATGAGAAATAACTTTAAGTTGGATAAGAATACTGATGTCCGATATCCGAAGCTGATTCTCGTCAGGGCCATGAGGGTAGCCCGGCCTGCGCCAACTAAATGTCGACTCGTTTAGTGTGTCAGCTAGGCGCCACACGTTAGTCCTTACCCACTGTGGGGCCCAACCACACCGGTAACTTTCAGACGACAATTGCACTTCTCACGCCTTGGCGGGGCGCAAACCGCCGACCCCTCGGAAGAGAGGCCGATGCGTTACCACTGCATTATTCCAGAGGCTTCTTTGAGCTGATATTCTTCTATTCAGGTCATGTGACTGGTTGCGGACAATAAGGTATAGAAGTTGATGCTACTTAAGCTACGATCCCGTGCAGACAATATAGTTAAGTGCAGTGAGGCAGACTGTATTTTAAGATTTTAAATACATATTAACTGATATATGCATGCACCAGTAATGATTCCTGTCAAATTTATTGATAATGAAATATATATAATCATTTCTTATTTACATATAACTCGTCGACCAACCCAATTTTGTACTTTCATATTGTAACGAGTTGGGGTATTGCTCAATTGGTATGCATGTGTTCGCGAGAGCGCGCGCGCGTCTGTGTATGTGATTGTAAGGAACAGACGGACAGATTCATCTTTCCAGATCATGTATCAAGAAAACAGGATCAAGTTCATAATACATTATTTATCTTACACATCACATCAGACAATCGTTAATATATATAATATATAATATATATATATATATATTATATATATATATATATATTATATATATATATATAGATAGATAGATAGATAGATATTACATATCAATTTTCCACATTTCTTAAAGCTTAGTATTACAAATATATAATATTCTGCGTGTATATCCTAATGCGGATGATTATAAAATATAATACAGAAGACACTTCAAAAACAGATAGCTGGTAAATCTCAAGACTAATTTACAACTGATATTTTGAGATATGTAGCCTAAATGAATAATGGTAATAATAGAAATGACAATAATAATGATAATAATAGAAATGACAATAATAATTATAATAATAGAAATGACAACAATAATGATACTAATAGAAATGGCAATAATAATGATAATAACACTAACAATAATAATGATTACAATAATAA